TCACATATGATGATAACAGAACAGTAGTTATCATTGAATTGATAAATGAACGAAGTTAAATGATCATTGTCGGTCTCATTTGTGATATTGCTGTATGCCTTACACTCACTCACCTTTTTTTTTTTTCACCTCAATTTTTTTATCAATCACAAAAATTGATGATAAGAGATGAATTGTAGTTTGAATCTTGCATAGTTGATGATACATCTGATGAAGTAACATGCAGCTGGTATGTTGCAGATGAAGAAAATGTTAGGATGAATGAGCAAACACTGATACCATCATCATCATCATCATCATCATTACTTTTAGATGGTAGCCTTTTCTAACATCTGTGCCGTATCAATCAACATCCGGCAAATACTCGATCTAATCCTTCTCCTTCTCTCCTCAATTTGCATATTACTATTTTCGGTGCAAATGAAAAAAAAAGAAAGAAAGAAAGAAAGAATGTGATAGGTTCATCTGCATAAAATGTGTAAACAATATGTTTGAAAGAATGTAATGGAAAAGAATCGTACGGAAAAGTTGATACGGTCGCGAAGAAACGAAGACAGGATAGAGAGGGAAGAAGTGAATCGTTCTTTTCTTTATATCATTGTATTCTTTCTTTTTATTTTTCTACAAAGAAGAATGTGAGAAGACATATTCGCATGAGATTGATTCTTCGACAATTTCCGGTTTAGAATATTTGCTGGAATCTGTGCATATATTTATTGTTATGATAGGTTTGAAATCAGGAACGATCGAATCATTTTCATTTAAACAGATTTTCTGGGCATCTTTTCTACTGCAACTACACCAAATATCTTTTGGTGTCACAAAAGAATGGAGTTTTTTGAAGTTTAATCAACCAAGGTTTGCTTGATTTTCTAGTAGGAACAAAAAGCAAAGAATATTATATTCATATTGACCTTACTATAATTTTCTTAGTTTCAATAATACCATTCTTCTATTTTGCAGGTAATTTCAATACCATTATTCTATTTTGCAGGTAATTGAGAGCATAGAATTGAAAAGGAAGATATTAGTTTACCTTGTCGTACAGCAGTAACATTCAATATATTTACAAATATATGCATATTTTGAAAGAGAATGTAAAGTTGATAGGCCTGTACGGGTTGACAACGCCTATTCTTATTAAACAGTCCTCACTTTTTATTCCTTTCTTAAAACAAATTGATTACCTGTAGTTTTATTTTATCAAATATGTAAATAACATTTAGACTTATTGTCCATTCAAGTTATTCATATCTCGTGCAAAGAATAGATGTTGCAATGACTTTTTTTTCTAATTCACCGATCGGCAACTTATAATTGATCACATTTCGGTGATTTCAAAAATGGATCGTTTAACTTCACATTGTGCATTTTAATTTGCCCTTCTCATTAGCTGCTTCTGTTAAAAGCAATTATTAGCTGTTGTTCAATAATGTTCAAAATTGTTGTCGATGAATCGATTACCCAAAGATGAAAATATATCGGTAACAGTAACATTTTACCTTTCTAAGTGAGATTTTTACCAAAAGTAAAACTATCGATTCTTTTGCAATTTTACAGCCAAATTCTAAAGTGTTGTTCAATGTGTCGCATTATTAATTAATCAATCGATTATGTGATTTTGTCAGTTAATTAGATTTCATCCCGCCTTTTTTGATTAATTTATGAATTCTTTGTGAAACGAACCCATTACAGTTGAATTTGTCGCGCCATTAATTCCTTTTCAATTGCCCGCAATTTGTTTCTTGAGGATTTAATTTTGTGAAAAATGGATTTTTTTTTGTTGTTGCAAAATCTCACAAGTGACAGGAACCGTACTTACCTAACCGAAAATTTATTGTCTTTCTAATTGCCAGCTCCGTTATCTTTCCAAATAATAAATGATAGCAAAAAATATAGCGATAAATCGTTACTTTTCATTTTGCTCAATTTGTTCATTAAAACTGTAAACAGTGGTGCATTCTCACGAATTTATTTTATTTATCAATTTACACGACTTCAAGGAATAATCTTTATGATCATATCAAGAATTCAATCATTTCTAGTAATTGTTAATCATTAATAATTTCACGTTATTTTAATATTAAATTTGATAATGAGCTAATCGGATAAATTGCTATTTCATAATTCGATTTATATAAGTTTGTTTCTTTTCTTAGTGTTCTTAGATAAAGAAAGAAATCAGAAATATTTACCGCTGCTTCCGACATCTGTGCCATCTGATTCAATATGTCTTTATAATATAACTATTGGAAAAATTTTCATAATATGATGCAAATATAGATGGAAAAGCTGTCATGATAAAGGGAACTTTAGCAGGAGGAAATATCATGATTCTTTCATTTGGAAGGGATTTTTTTTTCGTTTGTAAAATATTAAGCAGATATTGCTGACAGCTTTAACTAGTTAAGAGTGAATTTAAAGGGAGCATGCGGAGAGTAAGTAAAAGTCTAGTCTGTCTGTCTCCTTAAGAAATGAAAAAAAAGAAAGAAACTAGAAAAACTACGTCACAGTCATGCTGTTTTGTTGCACTTTTTTACATCATTTTTCCCTTTGCTTCTTGTCGAATTTTGTCGAATTTCTCTCTCTCTCTCTCTCTCTCTTTTTTCTCTCTCCCTTCTTTTCCTGAGAAGAAAAGAGATGACCAGAATAGGGGACAGGTGATATTTGAGGGGACAAGATGACATTTTTCAGTTACTTAGTAACTTTTCATCATAATCATCCACATTTAATATGAGAAATAGTTTTAAAATTCTTTTCCTACTTGTTATTTAACAAAATAGTTTACGATACATATTTATATATATAAAGTGACAATATTATTTGTGACATTGTGATTTCATAAGAAGCAATTTAATAGTTTACGATACACATTAAAGTTAACACTTTATATATGCATATACGTACGTGTATATACGTGTACACACACGTATGTGTGTGTACACGTTAATAATAAGTATTAAATTATATGGACGATTATTAAACAAATGTTAACTTTAATGGAGCGCGATTAACTTTAAAATCATACATGTGTACAAATTTCTTTTTCAAGAAGTACTTGACACGTGTAGTTTTTGTATTCCTTTCCATGCAAATCTTTTTTTTCCACTTTGTTGAATTTTCATCATTCTATTATTAGTTGATTAAATGACAATATTATTTGTGACATTGTGATTTCATAAGAAGCAATTTAATTCTTCTCTTCAACAACATTACTACCATTTAAATTGCATATTTAAGATTAAATTAAATGAAAGTGTTGATGGAAGGGTGTGTGTGTGTGTGTGTATGTGTGTGTGTGTGTGTGTGTGTGTGTGTGTAGTTGACATCTAACAAAAACAATCACTGTACTATTTTTTTTTAGTATCATTAATTTATCATTGATATGTACAGATATATTTGTTAAGGGAAGCAAATTGATGAAATAATTCTTTCACCAAATGTTTCGTTAATGATTTAAACTCAGTAAGATTCTTTTCTTTTCCTTCCCAAATCGTTCTGCCATTCATTTTATCCTATTATTGCATTTTGTCTCTTCCATAATTATGCATATAAAACGATGATGATCTATGTATCCGCAGAGAGATAATGTTTGAGCTAAAAACTAATCTGTTAAATAATCTATCAGTGATTTTCCTCTTCTCAATAAGTTATTTGTAATTGTCTATAGCCACGGATAAAAGATAAAAATTTTGCTTCCAGCAAAAAAAAAAGCTTCCCATCTTAGATATGCATCTTTAACTACTCCGGTAATGAAATGCTTCTAATTATTCCAATCTTTCTTTATTCCGTTTTTTTTCCGATCTTCTATTTCATACCGTTTCTATTTTCTTCATTCTATCATTCATAAGCTTCACAAAATAATTCCCTTTCATTTCCGGATTATTCCACTTTTTACCTCAATAATTTTATTAATGAATAGAATTGATTTTCAACAAATAAGACTATGTTTTTTTTTTCGCCTTTCTCTTTTTCTACAACAAAAATTCAACATTTCAATTTTCACCTCTCTAACAACACAGAAATACCTTTACATCGAAAAAAATATTATCATCATTTATGATATTTCATTAAAATGTTAGCATATTTATCATACAGTATGAAAATATGTCGAATTCGATCAATAAAACTATATGTATATGCAGTGCTGGTAAATGAGGGAAGTATAATATAATAAAATTATTTTGTTAACATTATAATAGATCGATCATTGATGGTGCCTACTTTCATGAACGATATCTTAGCTGATGTTCCATTTTTCATTTGCCTAAGTTATCTGAATAAGTCATCTACTCTATACGAAGCCCATTTCTATTCCTTTTCATTTCAGCCGAACCAATGCCTACTGAAGAGAAACAAAGGAAAGATATTTACGACTTTCATCTATTCGCCATTGAGGTGAATGATGGCGGAAACTCAATTAAAGGAATGATTTCAAAGTCCTTTATGATGCCACATTTAAGTTATGCAGAAAGCTATTTTTCAATTACAAAAAAAGTTATATTAAACAGAAAAGGCAGCTAAGCTTTCCGCTCTTTTTCATGTGCCAAAGTATCGGTTTACATTTTCTAAATAAGAAAATGGCATATTGCTCTGCGCATAAGCTCAGAACTCCTTCTTTGAGATTATTTTTCACCGAGGTGAAAAAGTTTTTCATTTATAACCGTCAAAATCGGAACACAGTATCTTCTCATAAAGCTACTACTTCGTGTAACCGGATCAATTTTTATGTTTGGAGTAGAAAAACCAGTTCTTCCTCGGTATACTGTATAGCTGAAAAGAAATGAATTCATTTAAAATACATGTTATGGTAAATTTGAGTGAATCGGACGTTGGTATAATGCGCCAACTTTCCTATCCTTTTCGTGTTGATCCATTTTAGGAATCATTTCTGTATTTTATGAACAATATTATCATGGTATCAGAATAAGAAACACTGGAATTCTATCGAGAACAAAATTTCCTGGCTGAGTGACCAAACTACGATAACATACAGTATTATGGAAGTCGGTAGTATTTCATTGGAATGTGGTGCGGTACCACCTTTTCCTGTAAGTGGTATTAATTACTTGCCGATTCCATCATGTCAACAGTCTTCGTCATCTTCAGCGCACGGTTCAGCCTTTTCATCACCAACTTTCTCCTCTCTTGCACCGTTGCTGACCAATTATGAGGTCATTTCACTCACTTTACTAGTACGCAAATCAGTTACAGCAAAAAACAGTTTAAACCAAAAAACGATTCACAATTAATTAATTCAATAAATGAATGAATTCATAAAAATAACATGGCTTGAAATCCAAACACCAACTTCATTCAGGTCATAAGTCATAAATTAGTCATAAACATAATACATAGTCAATGCATACGTGTACATAACATACAATATACACACACACACACACACACACACACACACACTCATACTCATACGCTTAGCATTTTGTATTTACAAATGGAAATTTGAGGATGTCAATTTCAAATTATAATCATTTTTTATTTAAACTATCAGTTTATATTATTCGGAAATATTATTTGTTTTAGCATTCAAACGGTATGAAATCCGTCAACGGTGTTGATGTAGCAGCGGCAGCGACAGCAACCACCCATAATCCGCTGTCATCAATGGCTGTTCAGTGTTTCAGCAACGATTCCACAATAGCGTTTGGAAGCCCTGCGACAGCAGCGGCAGCAGCAGCGGCAGCGGCATCACAGCCAAATCCATTCTTTTATGGCCCAAATCATTTTGGCTTGTCACAGTTAGTTGGCTTCATTTTTTAAATCGTTTTTTTTCTTTGAAAATCATTCAGCGGAATCTTTCCTGATTTGTTTTATTTCTTTGCTTTTATCACTTTTAATATTGCAATTCTTCTTTTCCTTCTTGGCTACAGAACTTATCTCTTTTATCTTCTTCTTCATTCACTTAATGTAAATTATTAAATTATATGAATAATAGACAATATGAAATGCTTCCACCCATCTGTATCATACTTCAGAGAGGCTTTTTTCAAAAATAGCTTTTTCAGAGGTTTGCATATTTCTCCAAGAAGTCTTAAAAAAATCTTGAAGGAAGTTAAATGAGTGCTCAGTAAAAATTAACAGTAAATATGAATTTGTTGAGATTATTCATTTAAATTTTAGAAGACTGAAGTTGTATGTGGGATAATAAGTCAGATTAGTTTTGAGCATAAACGATAGAATAGGGGAATATTCTAAACATCTATCATTCCATTTAATTTGAAATAAGAACAATGCCACTCGTTTAAGCTACAATTCACATTTTTATTGGCCAATAAATGATAGCAATTTGAGCCATGTGATGGCGGAGAATGGTTATCAAGAATGGATCGTTCCAAAAAAGCTCTAACGATTATATCATATATAGCTGTATTATTATTATTGGATTTGTTGGCAGAGGAATATTCATTGTTTTACTACATATAAATTGGATGCTGAAAATATGCTTTCATGTATACATCCTGAAAATTTTTGAAATTCAACTTGCTTAACTGAAACAGAACATCCGTACCGTATCATAAGTTGTTGAAAATTGAAAGGATTTAAAATTTGATGCTTAATTTATTTTTCTGAGAAATTTGGTTGGAAATTTTACTGGTATGAATAAATTATATATATATATCAGAGGTAAGGCATGAATGGCAGAATTATACTCCGAGCAACTTCGAGAAAAGTGGAACGAAGGTAGTACTGTACCACTCAAGCAATACTGAAATGATTATGATCAAATGATGATTATAAAGTGATTAGGCGACAACTTTAAAGTGATTATGGAGGGATGAGAAATTGAATAGTGTTGAAATAACCTGCAGCGTTGCTCTTGGATAATTACCCCATTAATTGCATTAGTATTCAAACGGTTCCATTGATAAAGTGAAGGACACCTGTATATTGCATTAATGACACCCATTTGCATATTTATTTCTTGATTTTTTGAAATAATTGCATTTGGAATATTTCATGTGATTTTCATGCCTTCCCGCATTTTTGCACATTCCTCACCTCGTGATAGCTGACCTTGCGAAGCAAATCTTTCCCATTTTTACAGCTTGACATTTTATTTCTATTTTCATCATGTTTCTACCATTTTATGGCCCCTTAAATTGGCACTTTTAAAATCATCAATTCTTCTTCTTGTCTGATAAATTTAAATAAATAAATTCCATAAATTTATTCAAACATATTTAAAATTATCAATGAATATTCAAGCACTTATTAAGGTAAGCATTATTTGGATGATAGTATCATTATTATCAATATTAGAGCAAATAGAATAATCAAATGGTCCTAAGCAGATTATTTTATCTTTAGAAAATACTATAATATTGTTGATGAAGATGAAACCTGTGGAAAATTTAAAAAAATATTACGATCCGCATCTATACCTGTCTTTCAGTCCACATATATCATGAGGGGGAGGGGTAGGGGGAAAGCGATATTTGTTTCCAATTAAATAAGAAAGTACCAAGATATTTTTTCCCTGATTTCCATGATAAGAGGTGAACCAAGAAGTCTGCAGTTAATGATAAATACGATAACGAAGTTTGGGTAAAGAGAGCGATGAAGTAGCAAGAATCGGGCAAAAATACACTTTCATCATTACTTCTCATTCCATATCCATATCGTCTACATTATCGTTCATTATTAATTAATTGTTTTATGGATAAAACAAAATGCATCTATCATCAATTTCCATTGTTAGAAGAATGTTATAAGTTAAATTTCCTTTCAATTTAAATTTAACATTCACTTTTAAGATCATTACTACTATCTCAACTGAACTGGTAGTTGGAGTAGAAGATTCTAGCAGATTAATTAATACTCGATAATATTCTGGAATGATCATTATAATGTGTTGAGCGATCGGATATTGCTAATTTCTTTGCACATTTTCATCAAAAAATTACATCCTCTTTTTATACCTTGAAAGGATTAATTTCGATATATTATGATACGTAAAATATTTACAATATATATACTAATTATTGGAATAAATCAATCATCCGAAGGGAACATCTCAACTCTTATGCGACAAACTTCTTCCTTCAAGCAAAATCCCACCTAAGCGCAACTTGATAAGGTCAGGTTGCATAGCGCAGCTAATTAACGGGCCATGGGCTGTAAATGGTAAACAAATAATTGGCAACAAATGAAGAGGGTGAGTTTTTAAACAGTGTCATGGCATTGGTCAGTTGTTGTTTTCAAAATTGATCGAGGAACTTAGAAAAGATGAAGTTTTCCATGGTAGTCGGAGGTCCGGATTATTGCTGTTTAATGTCAGAAGGCTTGTTTGATCTGCTCTCTCCCATTCTAATTTGAGTCTCCATTTCGGGAAATTTCAAATGAAAATTCAAATTGGGTTTCGAGAAAGCAGCAGATTTGTCTACTCTGAATTCTGAACACCTTATTTCTTTTTTTCAAAGTTTAAAAGTTTTGAAATGAAATTACTCAAGTGGTAAAAATAGATGGGAATTTTAATAAATTATAAACTCTTCCTTAAATATTTGTATCTAAATGTAAAAATACGGACAGCATGACAAATAATTGGATAGATACCAAAGAAGAAGGAAGGATAGAGGATTAGAGAATGTTTTCGCATTTTCTGTAACGATTACCTACAAAAAAAAAAAGTTAGCTTTATCATTCCAAATTCATTGTTTTGAAGTACAGAGCATCAGAAAATTTTTCTTTACTCATAAATTCTAAAACCTAAATGTATTAATAGGCTGAATAATGACAAATGAGCAAATCTATTTTAGGGATAGAGAAGATAGGTATCAGTAAGTACTTTTTTCAAAGGTCCAAAATTCGCAGTTTCATGACTTGTAGTTGTTATTTATTTTCGTTTTTTTCATTTTTGGAAATGGAAGTATATATGAGATAGTTTTTCATTTCAGGGAAGTATTGATGGCAGCTTATCATCGCCAGGGTATGCATGCACATATGGCGCCGACAAATTTGGCAACACCAATCCAGTCGCTTCCACCAACTTATTCATCCTGTACATCACTTAATTTACCTCCATTTGGAATTCGTAGTACGAATATTTCTTCCTCATCCTCTTTAGAAGGTAAGAATTCGATAATTTGAAAAGTTGAAAAATTGATTGTGAGATTTAAAAAAAAAAGATTTATCAGATTTTGTTCTTTTCCTTGGAGAACCATTATGTCGTTTTGTAATCTCGGTTCTGAATGGATTTGAAGAGTTTTTGTAAAACTGATTTACGAGTTTGAAATATATGAGAGAAGGAATATAGTCTCAGGAAATATGTTTCTTAAAAAATAAATTTGTAATGGTTTTACATATTAAAAGCACTGGCATAATGGCAGAACCGTAGTATGATCCTTAAACCATTTGGAAGGAATTGGCACTTTTTGCATATTATTGAAGGTAAAGCATGTGGAACTGTCAAGTTATATTGGAAAAATGAATTATGTAAAATATTGAGTTTCACATTCCATTTAGTGATATTAACCATTTATTTGATTGAACACTCGGTTAATTCTTTGTTTTTAGAGATTTCATGTGGCGTTTATTTCTCTTCAACTTTACATTGTATTAGAAAAATGCAAACACTCATTTACTCTATCGTTTCATATCACTCTAAAATACATTCTTCTTATTTCCATCGTTTTGATTTATTGCTAAATGTTCTGCGATGTTGTCAGAAATGCACAGCAAATTCATTTCAATTTCATTTCTGACGACCGTTTCATTCCACTGAACTGGTCATGTTTGAACTGCTTATTAGTAGCCATTCAAGCAAACTTTACTGTTTTCTTAACTTTTTGCGAAGCTGTTCGAAACATACCACATTGTTTTTGAAATATATTTCAAAAAAACAGTGAAATATTATTTCTTTGCTTCAACATATTACATTGCATATGGATTTCATGTGAGTTCAGTTTGTGATAAATGAACGATGATGTGTTCAGAAACAAAAAATTTCAGTTTACCGTTTTTTTTTTTCAAACATTCATCTTAGAATTGAGTCGAGCTTTTTAGGGTATCCCTTTAGAATTTTTTTTTCTTGTGAAAAAATTCGAAGGTCGTAGATTATATGTTTTAGCAGCTTTAAAGTCATGAAATAACAATAATTTTCAGATTTGGCGCTGGATTCGTTTCTAGGTAGTGAATACAGTCGGAAACGTAAAAATGAGCGTTCAATAAGCAGTTTACACACATTCTCCGATAGTGGTACGTCGGTGACTTCCTCAGGTTCTTCAGTGCAGTCAACGTTGATTAGACCTGCACCTTTGACAACAGAAAATGAATCTAGTTTGTTTCATTCGCAACTAATTATCAGTGATTTTCGGCATACCGTGGAACAAGCGCATCTACATTCAGCAAAAGTCAATAATTTGGTACGTTTTATCTGAATTCCTTTTTAATTCGATAATTTCCTTAAGCAACTTGTCAAATAACTTCTGTTTTTTGTTTTAAGATGAAGTTTGTGTTGAACAAATTTTTTGCAATATATTCAATCAATAATAGGGCGTATTTTAGGGAAGTGGACCTGAGTTACAAAATACGAATAGCAATATGCTTGATCGGAGGTAATTTATTTAATTAAAAATTTGGCTTTCTAGTGGATGTTTTTCATAGCTTGATCGACTGCTGAAGTGATTAGAGATTGTAAGGAAGTGATTTTTTTTTCAGGTCACCAGTTAAAACTGCTGAAAACGAACATATTGTCACTACTCATATTCAGAATTACGGTGGTGTCGTGCTTCATACACAAAAAATGCCAAAGAAAACGAGCATCAATGGACATAGTACAGGCCCATCACCTTCAACTACACAGAAAGAAAAGTTGGTGTTTGCGATATATGTCAACATAGCTTTTCCTTTTTTATCGACCGTTTTTTTCCTGAATCAGTTCACATATCCGATAGCAATTACCAAAAAATTTTTGAACTTCAGTGATATATAGTTTCTGTTGTTTCCAGGAGTCATTCATATGTAGCGAAGTCGAATGCACGCAACAATACTGCTCCACTTGTTGTAACAGAGGGTAATTCGGCCGAAAATGTTGACATTGAAACATTGGAAGATCTAAGATGTGAATGGCAAGGATGCAAAAGAAAATTTGCAAGCCAAAAAGTTCTAGTGGATCATGTTTTTGCCGCTCATATTCAGGTATTCTTTTCGGAATTGAAGTGATTTACGAAAATTTTTTTGAATATTTTCTCAGATTTTTCCGACTCCTCATTTTCTGCATTAAAAAATTCGTGCCATATTTTAAAACAATTATTGCAACTTAGATAAAAGCCAAATAATAAGGTTTTATTATCCCCTACGATAGAATCTTTTTGATCCCTACACTATCGCACGATTTCGGTTGAAGTTCAGTAGAAGTTGTGCGATAGTATAAAAGATTTTTCCCATAAAATTGAAAATATACTTGTTATAAGTACATTAACTGAATCATATGGGGTTACAAATCAGTTATGTTTTAAAGATATGTTTACTTATCAGATAAAATTAAAACTATGAAAACATTACCATCGCATACATATATATATATTGTAAAATGACACAGAAAGTATTTAATTTTTTTTGAATCGTAGTGTTTTTCAGACAACGAAGGTTTATACATGTTTATGGGAAGGTTGTAAACGAGAAGAAGCATTTAAAGCTCAATATATGCTTGTTGTGCATGTTAGACGTCATACGGGTGAAAAGCCTAATGTTTGCACGGTATGTTTTTTTTATTATTGAGCGGCTTCAAATGTAACTAAGATTTAGCTGGATGTGAGACGTAGTCTAGTTCCTTTCGTTTGAGCTGATTACTTTTGGTAGCAATAGTTTTATTGTAATCTTTTTTTGGTTTCTATTGTTGATTTTTTTTTTTAAAAATGAAATCTCATAAAAAGTTTTTTAAATTGCTGTTGATTTTACAGAAATGTTAGTAGTTGATTTTGTTCAGAAATAATATATTTTGTCGAAAAGTTTGTTCCAGTATCCTGGTTGTGATAAATCATATAGCCGATTGGAAAATTTAAAAACACATGTGCGAACACATACTGGAGAACGTCCATATCGATGTGAGTTTCCGGAATGTGGTAAAGCTTTCAGTAATGCATCCGATCGCGCAAAGCATCAAAATCGCACACACTCCGATACGGTGAACAATTTTATTTTCTGAATTCTCGGAATTTGTTTTTTCAATGTAAATATATTTGCAGGAAACTGATCCAATTAATAGTTTTTTTTTTCATTTCAGCTATTAAGATGCATTTCAGGCTTTATAAAAATGTTCCTTGATTTCAGAAACCATATCAGTGTATGATAAATGACTGTATAAAAAGTTACACAGATCCATCATCATTGAGGAAGCATATTAAGTCGGTTCACGGTGATGAAGCTTATGAATTAGCTAAAAAGAATAAAGTTTATCCAAAGCGACGTAATGGTACCGCATCAGATACAACGCAGTCTTCATCGTCGAAGTAAGTGTCTATGATTTTCATGACTCAGTTTCGATTAGAATTTGAGTGAATTGTAATTTTGATTCGTCTTCTATATTCTTATTCTGTACTCTTCATTGAACTTTAAAGTTCAAATATATTTTAAAGAATTATTACTTTTTCATAAAAAAGTTGTACCTTGTAAATAGAAACATATTGGAAAATTCGAAAAAAAAATCTTTGATCTCATTTGCATCTGGAATCGTGGACTCTGTATTTTTAAAAAGATTTTGATTTTTTAGAAGCGTTGTTGATAAGACCAATGATGATAGTGAGGATGAAATATATCGAATCAACTCGCCAACACAGATGCTGTTATCTGCCTGCTTGCGTACTGTCGAGAAAAGTTAGCTTATGAGCTGTTCAATATTTAGTAACTGATTTGTTCTGCAAATTTCTTTCACCTAAATTTAATTTTCAGTTAATGAAAACGCACCTGGAGAAAAAATTCGAACAGGTAAAAAGAAGCGGCCAAAGCGGACACCTTCTTATTCTTCTGGTGCTTGCGTCAACATGCATTATACTTCCAGGCAAAGATTTTTTTATCCAAAGAACCTTTTGACGCTTTTTTTCAGGTTGTCAAGTAATCGGGATTTGTATCTTAAAGTGTTTTAATGTAGTTGGTGAGAAGAGTGCGATCATATGTCAATAGATCTTTCAGTGTCGATCCGTCATCTCCAGATTCTAATGGTTTCAGTGGACAAACAATGACATCAGTTAATTCAAATGCTAGTTCCGCTACAATGCAGGTTCCACATCCATCGAACATAACAAATAACAGTGGGAACAATGTATCGATGCTTGGCGGTCGCAGAGATTTTTGCGTTGATCGCTTTCTCCAAAACAAGGGTATATTTTTTTTCTTGAAAACAAAAATGTGTTTAATAAATTGTTTTGAGATTCCAGAAAAAGAATTAGGAAAGAAAGAAGAAATTTTAAAATTTGGAATGTTTTTGATTTAACTATTCCATATTCTTTTTATTTATAACAAACTAATCTGTAGGACATTTTGATGATAGAAACCTGGATGGGAGTGTATCTCACCATGAATGCCAGTCTCATTATGATGACTCATCTCCATCACCACCTTCGACAAGGCATGACGAAATGACGAAGTATCAGAAAGGTTTTTTTTTACTTTTTTTTTTTATTTTGATTTATTTGCTGTTATTCTGTCCATCATTGTGATTTGTCTTGAAGGAAAGACTGACAAAACACTATGGTTCTAAATTCTGTATCACACACACATATATATCTTAAATTGAACTGTTAAAACCTGCGGACTTTTTTTCAGATATTGAAGAATACATATATAATCCTGAAAGAGCTTCTTCGACAATGCGAAATGCATCAGTTGGTTGTAATGTTATGGGTGTTACCATGGGTCATTCAATGTTACCAAATCAGAAGTGCGTTTTGAATGTTTTAAAAAAATTTCAAGGTTGTTGCAGCTTAATCTCGAAAAAGAATGCTCGAAGAAGACTCAAAGAGACAAATATCAGAATGCGAAAATAGATGACTTGTAAAATTAGTAAGCTTTTTAGCATGTAGTGATGATATTTCAGCCGTTCGGTGGAACAAGTTGCATATGCTATGGAACGCGTTAACTTGCAACCGACACCAAATATTCGTCGCCCAGTCAACCAACAAGTTCAACGTCAAGGATATTATAGTAATCCGGTATGATATGATATGATATTATATCTCATATTTTATTGCATTTTGAAAGAGAAAAACCTTAAATTAATAGTAAAAACAGTAGCGAATTTCTTAAGTATGAATTAATTTTTTTTGTGATACCGCCATAATTTTCATATGCGTAAGCAGTTTTTAGTATGATGGTGATTATGAGGATTTCGACCCGATGGATCCATATCCGACTTCTGTGGGTGAAAGCGGAAGTGTGGTCACAGCCATCACGCCACCAACAATTCATCGGAAGTGTGGGTGTTCTGTCACTCAATAATTTTATTACATTTTTGTTCCTTAAAAAAAAAAGTTCATGTACTAAACCATGTGTTATTTGGCTCGGAACGTGTGACAGTACTTTTAATTTTCTTTAGATTTGTCTGATTATTACTTTGGAATTGAATTTGAAGTAATGAAAATGAATAGGAAGGCGTAAGAATAAGAAAATTTACAAAACATTTGTCTAAAAAATCTTTAGTGAATTTTCTAATTTCCAGACTCGCCTGTAACTGTTGTTGAACAAGCAGTTCAAACTTACGATTGGGGAGCGTCAATGAAAGAAATCGATGTTGCTACACCTGTTCAAGTTCAAACAGCACGTTCAGAATCTATAGAAGCAGAAGAAGGACCAACGATGGTGAGTTTCTTTATTTGCTAGAGAAGACGTTTAAAAATTTTTTTTACAGCTAATAATGAATTTTTCGCTTTCCTAAAAGCCTCTTCTGCTCGTGTTTGACGAAATATGTTTCTAAAAACTCATGGGAGTCAAAAAAGTACTACTTCATATTAGTCAATCAGAATTAGGTGTTCCCATAATCATTGATGAATCAAACGAAATTATTCAATAGCAGATAATGGATGTTCAGATGCTCAACCAATGATCGCTTAGAGCGTATGGCTTATTTCTTTCAAATTTTTTGAATTTATCATTTAAGATTTCGAACTAGGTTGACGCATTTTTATTAAAATCATTTGCAGACATGCTTAACACCGATGAAACTGCCAATGCAGCGGCACGAAGGGGTACAGGATGATCTATATACGTATAATAGTAGTACTGCAACACCGGCAACCCTTGCGTCTCACCATCCAATGAAAATTAAAACTAAACAAGAGTGTGGTACTTACAAAACCGAACAAATAGGTTATTGCTGTTATATGTCTGAATGAAAGTGTTGTAAATAATTTTTGCAGTCGTTAACTGTTATTGTAGTATTTTCGTGTTCGTTAATCTGTTGCGAAAGATAATGTCCATGGTCCATTTAACAGGGTATCTTATCGTTGTCCTTTAGATTTTAAAGCAGAAGAGTAGCATAATTGTCTTTTAGAACAAATTAGTCTATATGTAGAGATTCAAGTTAGCAAAACTCAGCCTATTAAATGTGACTTTTTTTAAAATTAGGTATGGGTGGATAGTTTGTATAGGAGAAGCTTCTGTTTAGTCGCAGTTAATGAAATTAGGAAGAGCTATTTAGTCTTTCTTAATGAAGGAAGCTTATTTATCTTTTTTCAGTTTTTGAAAATATTGGTAGTTTCTCTCCTCAAGAGTAGAGGTTTTGCAGAGAAGCAATGTACAGCAACCAGGATACAGCAGTCAAATTCTGTGACTGATAGGAGTTATTGCACGGAATCGTTACCGACAAACGATTTTACATCAGATCCTGTACTTCCAAACGTCCATATGCAACAGATGCTTGGTGGTACGGTAGATCCACAATATCCAGTATCCCCGAGTACGTACGATCATTCGGTGGTACCTTACGGGAGCCAATATACGGACCCGTTAATGATGTCTTCCTGTATGCAAATCAACACGGATAATGTAAGTAAATATACGTTTTACGGGATTTTCGTCCTTATATATCATTGTGAAATTTGTTCTCTTTTCTGTTTGTGTACGTTCTTCTTGTGTATTTGCATGCGTGCGTCCATTTTCTTGTCTTTATGTGTTCCTTTAAATCTCATGACGGCATGATTTTACAATTTCTTCTGGGAGTATTATTCTAAAAACTTTCACTTTCGATGATTTTTCTTTCTTTTTGATTTCTGTTTAATTACCTTTGTTTTGCTTTTTGACACTCTTTATAAGCATTCAGCTTTTGTGTCCCTTCTTAAGCGTGTGCAATTTGATAAGGTCTCAGTATGGTGGTTGTCTTATTCGAACAACAGTTATGGCGTTTTTGAATTTTCTTTAAAATTAGATAGATAGCTGTGATCGAATATATTCATTATTTTCGATTTCATGTCTTTAATTCTCTGTTGATTTATTTGACAAATTCTGCAGTTAAGATTTCATGCACTTATGATTTCATGCACTCTTTGAATATTTTAAATTTTAAATTCCATTGCCCTTTCTTTGCATGAAGTGCTATTTATTATATAAACTTTTCTTTACTTGCTTTCTGCTTTTCCTGCATGTTTGTAATTCCAATTAAATCAGTTTGATGTTCCAACAATAATCACATAACTTTTCGAATTATTACACCATCATTGCGATTTGTCCTTTTTTCATAACATCGCATATGCATAGTGTTTTAATAAATCTTATGAAATATGGGTTTTTCATATTTCAGTCTAGATACGGAACAGATAGTTTCAATATAACGGATCCACATTCGAGCAGACTACAAATAGAAATGGTAATTTCCGGATGTTATATCATTTTTGAATGATAATCATGTAAAATAGTTTTTGTTCGAAAGCCCAACGTAATAAGGCATTATATTGCGACAAAGCTAGAATTTGCAACCGATGTTTTTGCATTATTGGAAAAATTCGATAGAGAAGAAAGGACTTTGAAAGTTTTCTTCATACAAATTTCCGAATATTTTATTGGAAAAAACCTTGCTTAATTTGTAAACTCTGGATGAACAGTCCTACCAGCAACTAGATTGGAGAAAATGATTAAAGCGGACCTCGTAATTGTTTTTCGAAGAATCTAATGTTTAATCGTATCCTACAAGCGATTGCTGCACCAGTAGAAGATATCCTATGTTATATGATCCTGAATGATTTGAGTATAAATTGCAATGAAAAATTGTAGTGTCACGAAGAACAGAGTATATAGAAAATGACAAAACAGTCTTGATAGTTCTGGTAATTAAATTTAAGCTCCAAGAATCTTTCTTTTTTGGTGCAACTAGTTTGGAATATAGATTTTGTTAAAAAGTGAGTACAATTTTCCTTAAATTGATTCCGTGATCTCTACTATATTTTGGCAGAGCGCTGTTAGTATTTATATATTTATATTACCAGCTGGAATGACTGGACTGAGTGTTTTTTAAGGTCGTGTAGATTAATTACAAAATCGGAATTTTGTAGCCAGAAAAAGACTCACTGCAAGACCTCGGTAACGATGATTTATTTGGTGATTTGGCCGGCATGGATCCGATTGTTCTTGGCAATGTTGATGAGCTAACGTCTTCATTCGAAAGTATCGAGTTGAGGAATATGGAACCAGAAAGATTGAATGCGGATGAACAACCAACTACAGAATGAATCGTCCATATCAAATATAGGATGCAATGGTAAGTGCTGATGTACACTGACATCAACTTTTCTTCCTTCATTACTAATTAAGTCTTGTACCGCTAGTTTTTTCTTAGGTGTTTGTATGATATATTCTTCAGTTTCTTCACGACAAATGTTAAATATCATTTGAAGCGTTCTTATTCTTATATTCATAACTATGGTACTTTGTATTTTTTTTACTAGCCACATCGCATACTTTGAAGTTTTGCTATTCATTTGGCTTAATTTTGAAAATTTACAAACCATCTTTTCATGTTATGGCAATAGATACTCCTAAGGGGCAGAAGTATGCATGTGATTGGAATGAAACACACATGTAAAAGAGGTTGTTAAAGTATATCTGTAAGAATCTACTATAACAGTGTTTTAATAGAATAACAGCAATAATATAGCACATAAGCATAAACAGGGCTTATTAATGTGATAAATAAATCTCAAAGAAGTTCAGTATCAGAACAGTTATATTGTGTATATCGTCTATTTTTGTTGGTCGATTTAACCATTATAGAAGGCTGTTTTGTGCCTCTGTTTATTTTTGTATCTCTCCGATAATACTGAGCATTATATAGAAGTGATATCTGCTGACTAACACTACTTTGCTCTTCTTTCTTTCTGTCCGGGTCATATTAACTAACATTTATCTAATTAATATTCTTATTTGTTTAACATATTCATCTATGTAAATGAGATGAAGAAAAAAAATTTATCTGTTCGGGTACTTTTTGTCTACTTATAATATCTGTCATATTTCGTTGCTATTTTTTGAATAATGCCACTACTTTCTAAAATTTCTCAATTATGAGTGCTCTTTTTTCCTTATCTTTGTCAACATCTCTTGAGGAGTCTTGACAAGACATTTATAGTACTACTTCAGTTTTCATATTTTTCAAAATCCTATTTTCGAGGAATTTGTATAAACTGAATTTTATAAATTTTATATTTGAGAAATTGTAATGAAGGAATGAAGCTGGAGGAAGCAAAATGCTGAGGGAAGGACTAAAGAAGCAAAAAAGTAAAGTTCAAAAAAAGAAAAGTGTTTCCTAAAATGGCAAAACCTTTTTTTGAATTTTACTTTTTTATCCATCTAAAACGATGTCAATTAAAAAAGCTCGTTTAAACGAATAGCTTGACTACATTGCAGCAATCAGGAAATGATATTACAAGTTGTAAGTCTGATTGGTAGTCTGCTAATACCAGTTGAAGATCTAGGAATCAATTAGCCTCTTATACCTTTTAGTGTTGTTGTTAGTATACATCCTATACATTAAACACATTAAATCTTACACATTGCCATTTCTAATGGGAAGCTTCATTTTCCTTTCATACATCATTTTCTTTGTCCTATTGTTTGCAGTGTTCTTCGACTATTTTGATTAATTATTTCCACTTCGAATTTTGTCATTTTGTGCATGTTGTGATCATACTAATTTTTGCTTATATTGTTTATTTTGTCACGTTGAACAAACAGCTCTATTTAAGGTAGTATTACACAAATGGAATATTTCATTTTTTTTCCAAACCTTATTTTGTGCTTACTATTTCAAATATATTATTTTGTGCTTACTATTTCAACTATATTATTTTGTGCTTACTATTTCAAATATATTATTTTGGCTGCTTACTATTTTAAATAAAACGATATTGCATGTAAAGTTTGAATAAATCTCTCAAACTCATGTATTTTCATTTAACAGCTATACACTCCTCTTATCTTATATCTTGGTGTTCTAGAAAAACTACAAGTAAAGGCAACCAGAAATTCTGAAAATATTCCGTCTTAAACGACCAAAAAGTATTCCGAAGAATTAGCGATCTCAGAGTTGTCTATGGTATCAGTATATGCTATCTACACATGAATCGAACGAAAACATAAATATTTTTGCCTCAAATTCTTATTCAAGAATACTGCCCGGTAACAAGGGTGCATAATTTATAAATAGCAGCAACTTCTTGTGTCGAAATCCTACAGGTTTCAATTCTACGAAGGACTTTTCCGACAGCAGATAATTCAGTTCTGTAAAATATTTGCCTCAAATTCTTATTCAAGAATACTGCCCGGTAACAAGGGTGCATAATTTACAAGTAGCAGCAACTTCTGATGTCGAAATCCTGCAGGTTTCAATTCTATGAAGGACTTTTCCGACAACAGATAATTCAGTTCTGTAATCCATTCGAAATTCATATGCAATGATAAACTGCATGTTTACAAGTTTGCAACAACATGTGTAAAAAAGATTTCTAAACCTGCAAATCTTCCAAAGCTTTTTTTTTTCCACGCATTCCTAGAACATCAAACATAGAAAATAGAAATTGGGTAGATTCCAAATCCGAAAATATTCATTTTCCTATACAGAACTGAACTAGTCGAATTCATTGAGTTTTTAGTCTCATTTCATTACCTTTGTAATTTAATTATTTAAATACTCACCTGGTCAATATAGTTGTGGATGTAATACTCATTTCATTTATAGCATTTTCTGATGAAAAATTGAAGCATTTTTCGCCCTCATTTTTACATGGATCCATTTCGACATGTTTCACACAACAAAAACAATATTGTTTGATATGTTAAGATGGCAGATAGTTTGAAATGAAATAATGTCATTTTAATTTCAATAAGAATTTTGGTTGCAATCTCAATTATTAATTGTCAGATCATGTTTCGTGATCCAGTACACTACATTACATCACTGATTATGTTAAACTTGTTTGTGTAACAAAAGTATTTTCAAATAATTATCTTACTTTGTATAAATGAACTACACCTTTACGGAGGTTTCCTGATGGAATGAATTTTGTTATGCATTGAAATTTCACGAAAAGAAAGAAAGGATTTCAGTAATTAACGGCTAAGTTTTCTTAATCAAAAGATATTTTTGTTTGGATTCAAATTATCAACGATTATTTCACCTGTTGATCGATATGAAATAAACAATTGTTGATAATTCCATCATACCATTCTTTTAAATTTGTTAAAAAGAAAGAAGTTTAATTAAAAAATTATCCTAGTTATCATAATAATCTCCAGATCGCTCATTAATAATTTGTTAATGAAATGAATGAATGGATGGAAGAAGTAAAATGTACAGGAACAACGAGTATACTTCATTTCAGTTTATGAAAAACGTTTATCTATCAATTCTCTACTCTTTTACATATTCTTCAATTGTAAATTCATAAGAGTTAAAAATTAAAATTTGGTATAAAAAATAATTTTAAAAAAAAGTTCTAATTCAATAGAATCGGAAATAAAAAACAAAAGGAAGCTTACTAATTGGCATAGTACTGTTGGAATAGCATGCCTAGATTGAAAAAGCATTTAAACCTTCTGTGTTATTATTTTAAATTGGAAAAAACGTTAGATTTTATAAAATCCTATGTTCCATACTAAAATTTATAATCCTCCTCAACTCTTAACAATTTGTCAACTTCTGGAATTTACTTTCTTAATTTACCCCCCGTGTTTTCATTATCAGATATTACTATCCTGATGCTCCATCAATCCTTAACAGGAATATATTATTTACCATCGTCCAGCTCTCACTTTCAAAATTACCGATTTCAAAATAGCGCAGAGTGGAAATAAAAATTCTCACAAAGACCCAAACAGTTTGACCCAATTTTCGTCATTGTTAAACAGTAGTACTTTTATTTTCTGGTTTGAACTATATTTTACGTATTGCAACTGATTGAACTTACGAAAGCGGTGTGAAAATACTTATCCCGGAAGGTCTATTCTTAAAGGGAGATTATGAGTTTGGCTATGCTTGAAAGCAGGTAGGTCTGAAGAGTGTTCGTCTATTAGATTATGTTCATAGAGTAACTTAAATTTCTTTTGCAATTCTTTAGATATCCCTGAACTGTATCTATTATAATTGTTTTGTTTTGATGCTGATTTTGTAACTGTATGAACAGAAGATTACTGCACATAATATGATCTCAAACACAATAATGGGGTTTGTAGCTAAGTTTTAAATTTCAGATTGAAGTTTTCAGATTTTTTTAGTTTCAGATTGTAAGGGAAATCTTAGAACACGTTTGAATGTATTTTACGAATTGGGAAGAATTTAGTAAAGCTGTCGATCGATTGTACGCTAGCAATCCAACACGTTGCAGGTTTATTTGTTATCAGAATTTAAAAATCATTGCTAGGAAAGTTTAAAGGAGTTGATGTTGAATATCGAAGTTATAATTCTCTTTTTTAGGGTGGAAACCTTTTATAATGCATTCATTTCTTTTAGGAAGTGTTTTTTTCGTAATATTAGAATACATTGGTAAGTTTTCGCATTTCTAATAACTGAAAAACTGAATGGGTGTTAAATTATTAACTTAATGTTCATCGTCTTGATGGTAGGTTAAAGAGAATGGTAATTAGTTTTACGACTTTTTTTACTAGTCGATGCAGTAATATCGTTAAGGAAAATTATAGTTCCAACAAAGGTTGTGATTCATCGCTGCTTTCGACTACTCTTGGATAGTAGGCTGAAATTGATAGAAAAGCCATAAATATTTGAACAGTTTATAAACAGCCCTGTTTGAATATCACATATACCATTTTCTATTCTTTGATACTGGTCTTATCACTCTACCTGGAGTTGGATACCAGAAAAAACCCTCTAAGAGATTTGATGTTCATTAATGATATAGGGGTCTCAGATTTAGGGAACTCAAAAACTCGTCCACAACAATCGACAAAACTGATAATAAATAATACATTCTTCTTTTACTTATTTGAGGAGATATTATTAGTTTGACAAAATATATTCAATTATTCATCACTTTCTTCAAATGGACGCTTATCGTAATTAATTTTCGTGATTAGTTCAACTCGTTGCAGATTTGTAACCAAGTATAACCATAAAAAAGGCAAAATGACACTCAAAATGACGGATGATGTGGTCTGTTTGCAATATGACACGGATCAAATACAGGATGTAAAGCGATTGGAAAAGCTTACAGCTATATTG